GGCGTTTCTTCTCAGCACTTGCCATATGTTTGTCTCGAAGCGCTGGTAGGGCCCAAAAGATAAGGAGACATGTAAAGTGCCCCATAAGGGCTACCTTTTTCTTTTTTTATTATTTTCTATTGACGTTCATAAGTGCCACTTGTGGTCTAAACTGAATAAATATTTTTGATTTTGATTTTGATTTTGATTCTATCTTATCCTTCAGGCTTCAGAAACGTGTCAAAAGCAAACAAATATGATCGTATTTTTGGCTTGCAACACACATTATGGCAATCTTGATGTTCCTACTAAGGCAGTCTTACTGGCACTGGCCAGTCGTCATCATGATGTTATCATCATCGCAAGGATATTTGGCCTCTACAGCAAGAGCAGAACCTTCCCTAATTTACCAGAAGCAAATTGAAGATTTAGCCTACACTCCTTACGGTAGCCAGACTGGTTGAGGATGTCTGATATGTCACATAAAAAGTCCTCTTACGATATTCTCAGAAATAAAAATGGTGTAGAAAATGGTGAAGGTTCTTACTTGTAATAAGCATACTGGAGCGCGAGCTGGATGTAGACGTCGGGGCTGGCGCGGCAAGACTTCATGAACTCGCGCCCGTAGCCTGTGTAGGTGTAAACTTTGTGGTCCAGGTCGCCTATGGCTCTGAAACATGACAATGTTTTTGCAGTTACAAGAACACAAACACGTTTACATGACGATTTATACAAGCAGGAACGTCTGAAGAAAGGAATTGTAGAATTTGGTAAAAAAGTGACCCTCTTAATTAGAACAGTAATTTCGCAAGTTTGCGCATGAATTCACTGAAACGAAGATGGGACTTGCAGACCAGATGTCAACAGGTCTTTATTTCGACTTTGATTTTGCGACGCCCTTTAGTCTAAAACGTACCGGTCCAATCCAAATCCCTGGCAGCAGTCTCAATAGTCCTCTGCACATCTGGCGTTACATTCCAGCGCACAGCCACTGGCGCAAGCCGGTGGAGGGGCGGATACTATAGTCAGGACAGTAATGCGAAACTTTGTGGTAGCCTCGAATGAAACTTGATCGAAGCTTCCAACGGTCAATAGGTCCGATGCTTCGATGGTTCCTTAATCTATAACGTACCGGTCCAAATCCCTGGCAGCTGTCTCGATGGTCCTCTGCACATCTGGCGTTATATTCCAGCGCATAGCTACCGGTGCGGGCAGCAGGGCGGGGGGCGGGGCTGGTCGATCGGCCACCTCGGCTCGAGCTAGGGCGCGCTCGGCCAGGCGGACAACCGCCACGCCTTCAGCGGCGCTATGCTCGTAGCACATGCCCACCATACCGTCTGAGGAGATGATGAGCTGGGGGCAGGGAAATTAGCATCCCAACTAATATTATAAATGCGAAAGTAACTCTGTCTGTCTGTCTGTTACGCTTTCCCGCTTAAACCTCGCAACCGATTTTGATGAAATTTGGCATAGAGATAGTTTGAGTCCCGGGAAAGAACATAGGATAGTTTTTATCCCGGTTTTTGAAACAGGGACGCGCGCGATAAAGTTTTTCTGTGACAGACAAAATTCCACGCGGGCGAAGCCGCGGGCGGAAAGCTAGTAAACAATATGGTAGTGCAAGTGCAGGTTACGAAAATTTTATATTTCAAGTATAAATTTTGTCTTCTCAGACTCCTCGTTTTCGACAGGTTTAAGTGCTGATGCTTTGACACCCATTTCAGCCGAAGGCGTAAGTGTATCAGGGCGAAATGACCACTGCCTAATTAGATCAAAACGTTAAGCCCTCCTGAGACGGATCTAAGAAGTACAGCATTGCGACAGTTAATGCAAGAATTGACCAGTGACCAGCTCACCACGCCACACCTAACTGGGTTACGTTACGAGTTATAAAGTTACTTTTTACTAAACTATGAGTTGCTAAAGCCTGGTCCGTGAACACGTAGAATCCCGTCCAATGACCCCACGTAATTATGTTGCTGTCGCACTCGCACACTTACTGCGGGCGCACGTCGCATAGTCGCGACAGCAATATAATTACGCGCGAGCGATAAGGATGGGGTAGCTTGGGGTCATTGGACGGGATTCTACGTGCTCACGGACCAGGCTTTAGAAGTTACAAATTGTCATGTTAACTATTATGCTTGTAAATTTCTGTTTACCTGCACGGTCTTGTCGAACCAGCGGTTAGCGGAGTGGTGCCTGGTGCCTGCGCCGTGCATGGCGCGCAGCATTGCGTTGGTGTCCGCGTCCAGATCAGGCCGGTCGCCGCCGCCCTCGTCAAGGCACACGATGCACAGGGCTCGAGAGATCAGCTCCAGGTTGGTGCGGTTGTTCTCATCTGTAAAAAAATGTGTATCAATCGCACAGCTTCTGATAGAATCTTAACAGGGACAGCGAGGAGAAGAGCACATCTTAAGCTGGAGAATGGAAAGAATTCGAGTTTAGGCGATTAGCTTTGGATTGTTAATTTAATTCAATATACCCTTATCACTGACTGCCAATTAAATAGTCCAATTCAATAATTTTTCATCGAAATCTGTTACCAAGACAGCAGGAGTACAGACTCCTTGCAGCTTGGTGTAACTTGGTATTTCAGGTTCACGGCGCAATTTACGGGGCTGTTAGGCTTACGTAGATGAACTGTCAAACATACCCATTGAAGACTTTGAAGGCCAATTAGTTAAAATCTTCTGAATAATTTAACTTGGGACTCACAAAGAGATGATCTTGACCAAAAATAAGGTTATCCGTACCTCTAATCAGGTGCTCTCTGGCTTTAGCCCACTTGTCTCGGTCCATAGACGTCAGCAGGCCAACACGGGGAGCAAGGGGTGCTCCGGCCGCGTCCACCATGGCATGCAGTAGCTGAGCCTGCATCTCGCCTGGGGTCAGACGCCCGCGGTCCGCAGCTTTCACCGGGATCGGGTAGAACTGAGGAAAATGTGGTTGAATTAGGTCATCAGTTGGCCAGACATATTCTAGAGATGTATTTTTGAAGCATCTGTATTTGCCGTCGCACAATATTCATAAACGAAACGGTTTTTTATCAATATTTTGATGTTCAGAGGCTATGCATTATTTAGAAAATTAATTGAAAGATTTTTTTAAAAAGTTTATAAATGGATCATACGCCTTCCAAAGAGATTTGCCTATTTCTTACAGTGTCATTTGCTGCAACATAATTAACTTAGTTTACAAACTTACATCTAAACTGTTGAAAGACGCATTTAAGTAACCTAAAGGCATATTCAAATTTACTGTAGTTTGCTTTAGTTTTCTAATTACATTCGTGGGACCGCAATGTCTCAAACTTCGTCTAAGAGCCAAGTTAAGAGATAAAGTGCGCCGTAAGTGCCGACTGGGTTACTCGGGCCTAACTTAATAAGCCGGGACATTGTCGAGCGCAAGTTGAATACTGATTGAAAGTGCTGAAAATACTTTATCTTTGTTCGGGACTAAATTCATTGTCGTCGCCCTCTAGCTACTTAAGTTTCGCTCGGATTATAGACTTAAGGCTGAATCGTTGACATGGAGATCAATCCTACCTTTTTATTGATATTCATGAAAAGTGAAGGTTAAGGAAGCATCTGGATGCAGGCAGCTCAGGGCTAGTCGTTGCGGAAAATTTTGTGGCTTTTGTCAAGCAGAAGAAGTCCTTTTACTGAAATGTGTTTTTGTGAATCTTAGTTCCTGCAAGCCACGACACGACGACCAGTTCCTCCTGCTCGTTCTTCCACCTGGCGGAGAGTTCAAATCGCAGGATTCTGCACTCCCAGTAATTACTAACTAAACTAGAACTGCTCCATGCACAGCGGAGGAGCTAGTGGGTAACCAGGGCCTCACCCTGCCCGAAGGCCAGGACCAAAAACCTGACTATGCTCTCGGTAAGTCATATGAGACATGAACGCAGAACATACTATCGGCGGATGCCTCAAGCATTCGTCTGCGTTCCCTATACTCTGCATTTGGCACGTTTAGTGCGGAACCAAATAAGGCGCGTCATGTCGCCTTCAGAGACACCCTCGTATTTGGTGGCTGAGTCCTACAGATTAATTTCTATCTTACTATCTTTGATCTCTCTCTCTTCTTCGTCGCTACACTCTTGCCAGAGTGGTCGTGGTCGTCACACCAGGTCCGGTGGCAAGCCTCATAATCCGTCGCCATTCCTCCCGCACTGCAGCCTTTCTTGTGCACTCGTGGAGTGGACCGTTGAGTGCGGTTTTGACCTGGTTAGTCCAGCGCATGGGCGACCTGCCGCGCGCTCTTGTACCCTCAACCTTCCTCTACACCTACTATCTTTGACATATGGCCTTAACTCACGTAGTTCCTGCAGGCCACGATGACCAGCTCCTCCTGTTCCCCCTCGCCCCTGGCGGGCAGCTCAAGCCGGTCACAGCCGACCTCCGCGACCCTGCACACTCCCAGCAACCGGTACAACTGCTCCATGCACAGCGGAGGCAGCCTACAGATTAATTTCTACCTTACAATCTTTGATATATGGCCCTAACTTACATAGTTCCTGCAGGCCACGATGACCAGCTCCTCCTGTTCCCCCTCGCCCCTGGCGGGCAGCTCAAGCCGGTCACAGCCGACCTCCGCGACCCTGCACACTCCCAGCAACCGGTACAACTGCTCCATGCACAGCGGAGGCAGCCTACAGATTAATTTCTACCTTACAATCTTTGATATATGGCCCTAACTTACATAGTTCCTGCAGGCCACGATGACCAGCTCCTCCTGTTCCCCCTCGCCCCTGGCGGGCAGCTCAAGCCGGTCACAGCCGACCTCCGCGACCCTGCACACTCCCAGCAACCGGTACAACTGCTCCATGCACAGCGGAGGCAGCCTACAGATTAATTTCTACCTTACAATCTTTGATATATGGCCCTAACTTACATAGTTCCTGCAGGCCACGATGACCAGCTCCTCCTGTTCCCCCTCCCCCCGGGCGGGCAGCTCGAGCAGATCACAGCCGTCCTCCGGGATCCTGCACCCCCAGTAGTTACTAGAACTGCTCCATGCTCAGCGAGGGTAGCTGGTGGGTAACCTGGGCCTCACCGTGCCCGAAGGCCAAGACCAAAAACCTGACCATGGTCTCGGTTAGCCATACGAGACATGAACGCAGGACATACTATCGGCGGTTGCCTCAAGCATTCGTCTGCGTTCCCTATACTCTGCATTTGGCACGTTTAGTGCGGAACCAAATAAGGCGTCATGTCGCCTTCAGAGACACCCTCGTATTTAGTTGCCGAGTCCTACAGATTAATTTCTACCTTACTATCTTTGATCTCTCTCTCTTCTTCGTCGCTACACTCTTGCCAGAGTGGTCGTGCTCGTCACACCAGGTCCAGTGGCAAGCCTCACAATCCGTCGCCATTCCTCCCGCACTGCAGCCTTTCTTGTGCACTCGTGGAGTGGACCGTTGAGTGCGGTTTTGACCTGGTTAGTCCAGCGCATGGGCGACCTGCCGCGCGCTCTTGTGCCCTCAACCTTCCCCTACACCTACTATCTTTGATATTATAGGGTCTTAATAACTCACATAGTTCCTGCAGGCCACGATGACCAGCTCCTCCTGCTCGCCCTCTCCCCTGGTGGGTAGCTCGAGCAGATCGCGGGATTTTGCACCACCCTTAGTCACTAGAACTGCTCCATGCACAGCAGGCAGCTAGTGGGTTACGAGGGGCTCACCCTGCCCGAACGCCGGGACCAAAAACCTGACTATGCTCTCGGTAAGCCATATGAGACATGAACGCAGGATATACCATCGGCGGTTGCCTCAAGCATTCGTCCACGTTCCCTATACTCGTACTCGGCATTTGGCACGCTTAAGGCTAATCGCGTGTGATCGCGTTTGATCGCGTTGGTTTGACTGAATCTTTAGTGCGGAGCTCCATCCAAACAAGCCGTCATGTCGCTTTCAGTCTCCAGCGAGAAGCACGCTGAACACGTGCCAGACATCCTCGTATCTGGTGGCCGAGTCCTACAGATTAATTTCTACCTTACTATCTTTGACATATGATCTTAACTCACGTAGTTCCTGCAGGCCACGATGACCTGTTCCCCCTCCCCCCAGGCGGTCACAGCCGTCCTCCGGGATCCTGCACCCCCAGTAGTCACTAGAACTGCTCCATGCACAGCGGGGCAGCTAGTGGGTTACGTGGGGCTCACCCTGCCCGAAAATCAGGACCAAAAACGTGACTGTGCTCTCGGTAAGCCATATGATATGAGACATGAACGCAGGACATACCATCGGCGGTTGCATCAAGCATTCATCCGCGTTTCCTATACTCGGCATTTGGCACGTTTAGTGCGGAGCACCGACCAAACAAGGCGTCATGTTGCCTTCAGTCTCCAGCGAGCAGCACGGACACCCTCGTATCCGTGGCCGAGGTCTACAACCTAATTTCTACCTTACCATCTTTGATATATGGTCGTAACTCACATAGTTCCTGCAGGCCACGATGACCAGCTCCTCCTGTTCTCCCTCTCCCCTGGCGGGCAGCTCAAGCCGGTCGCGGCCCACCTCCGCGACCCTGCAGACTCCTAGCAACCGATAGAACTGCTCCATGCATAGCGGCTGGCCCTTCTCGCGGCTGGTGGCGCGCTCTTGCGGCAGTTCACCTCTGTACAGAGAAGTATATTGTGGTGATAAAAAGCATTAGCGAGTTCCTTGTTGCTGTTAAATTTTTTTATGCTAAATATGCTTGCGTTACGAGTGGGTTCATCACAATAGTTCAGCATCGGAGTTGGCACCAGCGTTTCTTGGGTCTCGAGTCAACCAGTCCGAACACCTTCACCGTTCGCCTATTTTCGCTTTTCAAAACTTGTTTAAAAGCGACAATAGCCGAATTTATTTCTAACTAGCTGTGCCCGCGACTTCGTCCGCGTGGAATAATGACTTTGGGTAGGCACTTTTAATAATTTAGTCTAATTATTTTACAAATAGCTTTTGCCCGCGACTTCGTCCGTGGAGAAGTCGAAAACGTTCTCATACGATTATTTTTAAATGTTTTAACGTTATTATCTAAATGTTTGAATACTTTTAAAATATAAAAATCAGGTTAAATAAACATGAAAATATTTTTTTCTTATATTTTATGAATATGCAGCTCGGCCTTTGATCCGGTGAAAGTTACTCGGTGGTATTATTTTTTTACAACGAAATCGAAAACTACACCTACCGCAGTATTATTGGTAAACTTTTTTTTATATTTTCCTACGGGTGCTAGAATCACCAAGCTTCCAGCATGCCACTGGCCGTGGGAGAAGGAGCTTTTCCTCAAGACTACTCCCACTACCTCAAGGGCCTCCGCCAAAACTCTCGCGCGAAAATGAGTTTATGTATACAGCGCAAGCAGGTGCCCGCGGCATGACTTTCATGCATTACTATGCATTGTTGGGCGAGCGCACGCAGCGGGCACCCACTCCGAGGTTAAGTGGAGGCCCCTAGAGTATGGTAGTCGTTAACATGACGTCATGATTGTAAAAAAATGCACTAATGAGTAATTAATATCAACTTTGAAGCAAATCACCACTAAAATAACTTTCTACCCCTTTTTAACATAGTTAGGGGGTGCATTTCACTAAAATACGAAACACGTCTTCCATTAATTCTGTTATAGAATGCTTATGCAAAATTTTAAGTAGATTGGACGAAGGAATCTCGTTATTTCATACAAACTTTGCCCCTCCTTTTTACCTCCTTAGGGGTAGAATTTTGGAAAATCCTTTCTTATCAGATGCTTACGTCATACAAAGAACACACCGTCCAAGTTTCAGGTCTTTACGATCAGCGGTTTAAGGCTGTGCATTGATCCATCAGTAGCGCGCGTAGTACTTGATCATTATTTTGCTGCGATGTGATTTTAAAACTGCGATATCTCCTAAGATATTTATTGAAATCGAATGGTGTAAAGGGCAAGAATATTTAAAATTAAATACTTGTGGTGAATAATTTATTTATTTGGATAAGGATTAATATCATGTTCATAAAAACACCTTCGCAAATAATGCATTATTTTAAAACAAATTTTTTTTGCATAAAAATGGTTACTATGAGCCAACCTTAAAAGATAGACATATGCTACTGCGGACTTTTTTAAAGAACTTTTAAAGGGGAATAATCCTGTCATACGTGATTTTTGCGACACTTTAACCGTTTACGCAGCGTCAGCTCCCAAAAGGAAAAAATTCACTGATTTGAAATATTCTTGATTGGTGCTCCGCTCCTATTGGTCTTAGCGTGATGATAAATAGCCTAAAGCCTTCAGGAACTAACGGGCTATCCAACACAAAAATAATTTTTCAAATCGGTCCAGTAGTTCCTGAGATTAGCGCGTTCAACCAAACAAACAAACAAACAAACAAACAAACAAACTCTTCAGCTTTATAATATTAGTATAGATTGTGAGCAATATTTATTTAGACGTTGGTAAAAGCAAAATAACATTTAAAAGGTCACAGCATTAATTAAAAACTCACAAAAGCTTTCTTCAGCAGGTAATTAGCTCGAATAAAAAAGCGAAGGCGCTATGCTAATAAGACGTCTGGTGTCGACGACCAAGTGACCGCGACACGCGACCACGACACGACACGACCCGGCACATAAAACGTAGATATCTTCATATTAAACAAAATTAAAGTCTGTTGCACTGTCGATTGCACGAAATATGATAGACGACAAAGATCTGTTTTAATTTTGATTGCATAATTTGTTCCTTTTTCCCTAATCTTAATTTAACTATAATTGAAAACCGAATAAAATGTATGCAAGAAACTAAAAATGCTTGAAACGGAACGGTTTATAAAAAACTTGTAAAAATGGGGTAGTTACGAAAAAATTTTTTTACGACTGCGCCATGTAACTGAGACGTTCTATCATACTGCTCAGTGTTCAAGTTTTTGTTCTTAATCCCTATTCAACCTGCTAAAACAATGAAGACTGTAAATTACAAAATCACATCATTTTGCGGTTCATCGGTATGTACACTTCCTACTACATTTCTAGCGATAAAAATGTTGAAATCTTACGCAATATTTTCTTCAAATAGTAGCTACGTTGAATGAGCTTGATTGTACAAACAATATTAAGTAATGAATTCTCCGTCTCGAGTCCCTCGCTGAGCGGCTGGCTTTACTTGTGTCTGTTACTTAGCTAATTGCGACCATTCATTACGTGTTTAGTAGGTACCTGCTAGAAATATTTCTGTATTTTAATATGATGCTTGTAAAATTTTGGCTTTCTTGTATTTTGTAAAATGAAAATGTGTGCGTTTGGTAGAACTTTTGCATTAACATTTGGTTAACGTGACGATCATAGGCCGGAAGACGTAGCGTGGGCAGGCCTCCCACTAGGTGGACCGACGATCTGGTGAAGGTCGCGGGAAGAACCTGGATGCGGGTAGCACACGATTGTTCGTTATGGAAATCCTTAGGGGAGGCCTTTGTCCAGTACTGGACCTCATTTGGCTGAAACAAACATTTGGTTGGGTTATCTATTTATAAATAGTGTTTAACTTTATATTGCGATCGCATAAGACAGCAATATGAGGTAGATTAAAATAATTTTACATCATTGTCCTATTCGCTTACTTATGACCTAAATAATTTTAGTGTGTGACGGTGATTATGGGGTAGAAGAATTGAGAGATTGTTAGTTATATTTCACTTGCCACTAATCGCGAATATCATTGTATTGTGTGACAGTGCTCGGCGAAATTACTTGATTCTTTTTCACATACGATCAGTCACGAGGGACCCAGTGACGACACATTTATTGCAGTAATGTGTTTGCGAAATATTTTTGTGGGGTAGAATTAGATGATTCTACCGCACGTATTATTGTTCGGTTAGTAGACTCAGTGGCGAGTAGTATGTGACGGTGCTTGGCTTGCTTGGCGAAATATCATTGTGGGGTAGAATAATAAATTATTGAATGATTCTACCTCAAACATTGCTCGCTTTTCCAACTACTAGATTAGCAGGAACACTGTCAGTTTAGTGTAAGTTTTTATGCGGGGAAAAATTTTACTATAATTTACTTACAACATAGTGCTTGCATATAAATGTCTACCTATGTAGATAGGTCAGTAGGGAAACAGTGTAGTGTGAGTGTGACGGTGCGTAGCGAAATATCAATATGGGGTAGAATTGACGATTCTACCTCGCTAAAATTTGATCGAATATTGGTAATGTTTTCTTACTATCTAAATATAGTGTTGTGTTGATTCCCTTGATAACTTATTTAAATACTTAATGCAATGCGAAAGTGTATTTCAGTAGATCATACCTATTAGTTTTATTGTTTTTACGGTGTGAAACAACTTCAAAGCGAATTTTCTCATTTATCTTTAAAGAATTCGAGTTCAGAGTCGCAACTCTAACTGCTAGACTTCCCAGCACCAGTGGCGGATTTACCAATAGGCCAAGTAGGCCAGTGCCTAGGGCGGCAGATTTAGAGGGGCGGCAAAANCCAAGCCTTGGTCTTTCTGTTTACCTTTAAGTAGTTCTTAGCTAATTATACTGGATATAGCACTTCGCATGGCTCTGTGCACACAGGTGACAAATTGTTCAGGTGAGAGAAGCTTTTATTGCTTAAAACGGGTTAAAAACTATCTAAGATCTACTTTAAGTCAAGAAAAGCTTAATGCTTTATCTCTTTTGTGCATAGAGTCAGAACTTATAAAAAAGATTTCATACGACGATATAATTAATGACTTTGCAAATTTAAAATCTCGCAAGAAAATGTAAAACTTATTTGATCTCATTGTCTGTCACCAATAACTGGATGTTAACATGTTATATTTCAATAGAAATTGTCTGTATTTGTTTTAAACTGCTATGTGCAATAAAAAATATTTAACAAAAACAATGTTTACTGACCCCACATTATTTTGTCTGTGTTCATATAGTGTAGGTATTTTTAAGTCATGCCTTTCCCCACCTTATGATTAGTACATGCTGCTGTTTTTAGGTCAACATTAAACTCTTCAGTACATAGCGGGTTGCAATAATAATCTAGTAACTGACAGAAATATCATTAAGTTCACAATCATACTAATAACGGGACTAAACTAACGTATTAAATTTCAAAAGTCAGTAGGGGCGGCAAAAATTGAATGGCCTACTAGCGGCAAATTTGTAAATCCGCCACTGCCCAGCACAACAAGTTACAATACGTGACAATCTTTTTGTTTGTTGTTGATCAAATAAATAAATAAAAATAAATTTTATGATTTTGAAGTCGATTCTTTTTTGCGTTTTTTGTATATTTTATCAAAACTGACACATTTGTAACTATAATAGTCTAGCATTTTCTTCAAAAGCAACCCACCGATCCAGCATCTCCTTGTAATCCAGCAGGTCGTCAATGAACAGGGCGGCCAGGTCAGCCACCTCATCCAGTCTTCCGAAGCGCCGCCGCGGGAAAACCATGCCCGGGCTCGAGTTAATGGGAAGAGGCAGGCGCACCTTCATGTACATGTCGTCCAGCCACCATTCTGTCACCTGGAGGAAGAGCAGAGGTAAGTGATTGAACTTTTTAGTGTACAATATTTATTTTTAACACGCTTTTATTAGGTCGTCGTATATAACTATGTAATGGAATCTAAGACCCTGAATTACATGCACTTCTGATTCTTGTATCATCATGAAACTTGGCAATTATATGAAGGTTAGATGACAATACAATATTGTGGTACCATCGAGCTGGTCTGATGATGGAGTTGAGAGGTGTACATAGGAACTCCTAAAAGAAACGATGGAAATTCATCGAGTTTTTCGGACTTTTAGTGCAGTAATTAAAAGCGTGTTTTTAGTTTTTTAAACTATTAATATTTAATTATACTACCTTGTGTGAGAAACTGGAGTCTGAGATAGGTTTCCTTAAAAACCAATACTACACCGAACTACTACTACTATTAAGCCTTCGGTTCTGAAATCTAATTGGTTATTTAAACACATCGCATAACAAAATATGCAGTGCTCTTTTAAAAAGTATAAGATGACACAGTACTTGATGTGCCAGTCTGTACACTTCCCACACAAAGCTTTTGTTTTGATATACGGGACTATTTCCACCTCTCGTTCCCACCGCTGCAACTCCTGTGTAGACAGGATACAGCTTGACCGCCAATAAAAACCCAATCAAAGAAGGTCAACTTTGTCCCGGTTTATTTTGATATAATAATTCATTTATTCATTGCATCATGTAGTACAACAGTAAGTACCATTGGAAACATTCGTGAAATAACTATTTCATTGGCATAAATCTATAGGAACAGAATATAACAACTGAACCTTTAACATCAAGCAATAGATGGGTTAACCTACCATATTCGATGTTTACGGAAAAACTAGCCATTAAAGTTTAGTAGAAAAGATTCAGTAAGAAAATATATTTATTTTGGATGTAAAAAAAACTCAATAATGATTTTGTATGAAATATTTTACTGGAACTACTATTTACAAAATTAATACATACGAGTAAGTACTTTAATATTACTACTACAATAGAACATCACTTCTTTCTGCGGCGGCTCCAATACGCTAAAAATAACGATTGTACGGCACAGTTGGGCTTAAAAAGAAGATGGTTCTTCTTGGTCTAGTCCTTCTCGGTCTTTTGGTCGTCGTCGTTTTCACTTCTTCGGGAATCCAGAAATTTCTTTTTAACGGCAACAGTAGCTGCTGAGGCATTTCGTCATCCTCACCATCATCATCATCACCAAGACCGTCCAAGTCATCTAAAGGAGAGTCCAAAAAGAAATCGCGTTGTGTTGTTGATTTGACAAAGTCCGTGTTAATTAGATAATTGCGTATTGAATCTACTCTATCCCTCAAAACTTTGGGCTTAGTTGAAGGCTCCAAAACAAAAGGCCTCGCTAGAACGTTATATTTAGGCGCTGTCGGTTGTTTTTTCTTCAAAACTTTTTGAATATAATTGTCTCTCCACGAAAAGGCACGGCGTTGGTTTTGGTATTCGTCTCTAAAGAAATTGTCTTTGTTTTGGTATATTAGTGGCTTCGGTCTGAGATTCGTCCGTTCTTGTTCAAATTTCGGTCGTAAAACTACTTGTCTTGGCACACTCGTGGGCTTGTATACCCTCATGTTCATAGTGTCTGGGCGAAACTTGCGGGCTGCGTTTACATTCGTTTGCGTCATAAATCGTCGTTGCGAAAAAAAGTCACCTGTATTCATCGTCATAATCTCTTTATTTTTGCCGGCCAAATGAATTCTCCTCATGATCTTCCTTTGAGTCTTTGGTGAAACTATTTTTATAGGGTACAAGTTCGTTTTAACGAAAGGATCTAGTAGTTTGACCTTAGTTATATTTGGATTGAGAGATACGAAGTTCTTAGTAAGTATTTTGTTTCGCCGGACTTTAACTTTTACAGGTGGATTGATGCTTGAGGTTGGCGTTAACTCTTCAGAGCAGTTGGAAGCTTTTACTAATTCTATAAAACTTTTCAAACTTGGATCGACGTGATGACTTAAGTTTCTAAGCAATTCACAAGCTGGGGTATTCTTAATCTTTATACCGACTTGAGATCCTTTGATAGTTGTGTATTTAGATTTTGGTAAATTCTCTTTGAATAGTTTTATTCTTGCTTCTAAACTTACAGTGTTATCTAAATCTTCTGTCGTTGGCTTGTAAGTATTGTATTTAATTGTTTTTGTGGTTTGAGCACTTGAAGTAACTGCCTGTATCATATGCGTGGTGATTGGTTTATAACTTGTAGCATGCCTAGCGGAATTATTGACTGGCATATTATTATTATCGTATTTTCTAAACAAGTAGGTTCTTCGGTTTAATGGGCTAGGTTTGTCTGTGGCGGTAACAATGCGTGATTTCAATATGGGAGCTATTTTACTTGGGTACGAAAGTGTATACTGTGGATAATTCAATGTTGTATGAACTTTTTTGGGCATAACATTCATATGATCACCAGAAATGTTATAATTCTTTGTCAGTGCTTTTAAATCTTTCAATTCTAAAGAATGTGACACAAGATTTTTATCTGTATCATTGCTTAATTGAATGATACTGTTGTTATAATTAAAAAATAGTTTGCCAATTACGTCATGTTTTGGATTTTCTATTTTTGGACTGTTCTTTTTTGTTATCCTTATTATATTTTCAACACCAGAACCATTGATCATTTTATCTTGGTCTGTATTATTTTGTTTGTCTGGTGAAATTCTGTCTCTGCTACTCTGATTTAATTTCTTCAACATATTTTTTAGTATAGATGATAAAGTGCTATTAGATGAGCTTCCTAATGCCTTAAACTTAGTTAATCTAGCATTATTATTATCATTCTGTTTGATCTCAGCACTTTTAAAGTTCTGTGGTAATTTGTACGTAAATCTTCTAGTCATGTTCATTATTGTGGATACATTAGACACGTTATTTGCCTTAAACGTTTTTTCAGAACTTGTTCTGATGTCTAGAACCGAAGTAGTTGACCATTTGTTGTCTGTATGACGTGACATACATACTGTCATATTTTCGCCTTCAGTTTCAGTAACGGTAGTTAGCTCTGATGTTTGGATAAATATATCAGAATACTTAGTTAAATCTTTATCAATCGTGTTTGTTGCGTGATCAGTCTCTGGAAATAGTAACTTGACACTGTCTATTTGAACAGTATTTAGAGGCTTTTTTTGTTTGCCTATTAAAGATTTATTTTTAATGCGTACTGTTATATTAGGATACAGGATTTCCGAAGTAACAAGCCTTCCAGGTACGCCTGATCGATTAGTTTGAGGCAAGTTTAGTGTAGCTTCATCTGAACTTAAAGACGGTGTAGCATCATCATGTTTTAATGTACTTGTTGATGCAGATCTGACAGTAAAATGTTCAGTGGTGGTTTCTGCTAATGTCATATCAATTTCTGTCTTTGTGTTTTCTACATAGAGAAAGCTGTTTGACTGTACATTACCCAGTCCGGTAAATGCATACGGTGTTGCTCTAACTTGGGTATCCTTTGATATTTCTTCGACCAACTGCATTGGTTTAGTTGATATAGGAGTTATACTTTGGGTGTCATCATTTATTGTACTATAATTGCCCAATGTAGTTGGTAAACTTGACGGACTATAATTTTCAGGCAAATCACCCAGTCCGGTAATTGCATACGGTGTTGCTGTAACTTGGGTGTCTTGTGATATTTCTTCAACCAACTGCATTGGTTTAGATGTTAAAGGAGTCATACTTTGGGTGTCATCATTTATTGTACTATAATTGTCCAATGTAGTTGGTAAACTTGACGGACTATAATTTTCAGGCAAATCACCCAGTCCGGTAATTGCATACGGTGTTGCTGTAAATTGGATTTCTTGTGATTTTTCTTCGACCAACTGCTTCTGTTTAGATGATATAGGAGTTATACTTTGACTTTGGGTGACATCATTTATTGTGCTATAATTGCCAAATGTAGTTTGTAAACTTGACGGACTATAATGTTCAGTTTGCAAGTTGTTGAATTCTTGTGGTCCATGTAACATTTTTCCAATTGCACTTGTAAAATTGACATTGTTACTTGTAGTAAAGTCAGTGTTGTCTTTGTGTGTAAATTGGTCATTTAATTTTTTCAATGTAGAAGATTCTTTTTTAACAAAACCCACACCTGAGGTAGTAGAATATATAGCTGACGTTTCTTGTTCATTTCGCATTTGTGATGGTTTAAATGTATCGTCTGTTATAGTATTAAGACTCTCAAGTGCGCTGTTAGTGTTTGTTGATAAATCTGGGAATTCCCTATTTTCATGTAACATCACTGAAAGACTGTCAGAAGATGTTTGTTTTAGTGTGCTAGTTTCTATAAGTAATTTACGGTCACTTTCCTGTAAACTTAAAATTTTGTCATAATTTTCGATATCTAAGGACGTTAAGCTTTCTTTTTCTCCTTCATTTTTAAATGTCTCTTTACTTGATTTATTTTGAAAGCTATTAGTAATTATTTGGTTAGTATAAGTAAGATTTTCTGATAAATTATCGATGTCATGCGCCTTAATCGTATCATGTAAGCTCTTGTCGACTGTCCAAGAAAAATCTGTAACGGAGAATAAGTTTGATTTTGATCCGATTTGTTCGTCTAGAGTTTTTGATGAGGTTTTATTGAAATCTTTTGAAAATGTGATATTTTTATTATTATTTTCCTCGTTCATATTCATCAAACTTGGCTTTATTGATGCTGTTGTCACCATATTAGGTTTTTGTACTTTTGTTATACTTTTTAAATTCAAATTATTACTATCAGCAGAATCTGTATTACTAAAGATGCTGCTGATATTAGAGCCATCATTACTTTGTGGCAATGTGAATCCTTTATTGCTTTTTGAAATAACTACAGTTTGCCTAACATTTGTATTTTCATCTTTCGATCCATGACTGCTCTTCACGTTTTCTTTTGTAGATAATGTAGTAAACATTTTGAAGAAAGTTTGTTCATTTAATACCGGGGATTTGTACATAACTTCAGTAGTCATTGTTTGTTTATTTT